AACTCACAGAGATCCTCCTGCCTCTGCCTCCCGAGTGCTGGGATTAAAGGCGTTCGCCACCATGGCCCGGCTTCAGGAGGTCCCATTTATTAATTGCTGATCTCGGTGTCTGTTCTACTGGTGTTATGTTCAGAAAGCAGTCTCCTGGGGGTACGGTTTATTAATTGTTGATCTTAGTGCCTGCACTGTGTGCATTCTGTTCCAGAGGTTGTCTCTTTTTGCCTGCCTTTTTGCTCCTACTGGATTGCTTGCCCAGCTTTGATATGAGGGTATGTACCTAGTTGTATTGTAACCTCTTATGCCACGTTCAGTTGATATCCCTGGAAGGCCTGCTCTTTTCTAAAGAGAAATGGAGGAGTGGATCTGGGAGAGGAGATGGGGAGCAGTAGAGGGAGGGAAACTGTGGTCAGGATGTAATTATGAAAGATGGGGTTTTGTATGAATAAAGAGTGTTTTTAAATGATCTCTTTTTATAATTTATTTTTTAAGTTTCATTTTACTTTCCAACCTCAGTTCTCCCTCCCACTCCTCCTCCCATCTCTCCTCACCTCCCACCCAGACCACCTGTGTCCACTCCTCCTCACAGATAAGGGCCCCCATGAGGAGTCAACAAAGTCTGGCACATTAAGTTGAGGCAGGACCAAGGCCCTCTCCCATGAATTAAGTCTGAATTAATTCATCACACCATAGGGAATGAAATAGGTTTCAACAAGCTAGGTAATGTACCAAGGTTAGGTCCTGGTCCTACTGCCAGGGGTTCCTCAGATAGCCCAAGCTTCACAACTGTCTCCCGTATACGGAGGGCCTAGTTCAGTTCCATGGAGTCCCCACAACTCTCGATCTAGAGTTCATGAGTTTCCACAAGCTTGTCTCTGCTGTCTCTGTAGCTTTTCCCATAATGATCTTGACCTCCCTTGCTCATATATCCCCTCCTCTCTCTCTTCGACTGAAGTCCATGAGCTCAGCCTGGTGCTTAGTTGTGGATCTCCACATCTGGTTCCTTCAATTACTGGATGAAGGCTCTATGATGATAGTTGGGGCATTCACCAATCTGATTACAGTGGTAGGCCAGTTCAGGCATCCTTTCTACTATTGCTAGGAGTCTTAGCTGGGATTATCTTTGTGTATTCTTGGGAATTACCCTAGCACCAGGTTTCTCCCTAACTCCATAGTGGTTCTCTCTATTATGATACTTTTTTCATTGCTCTTCCACTGCATCCCCCCTCCTTTGACCATCCATGGGTCACGTAGCTCCGTTTAGCACTGTACACTGATTGGGTTCTGAGCCATAATAAGAAATTGTCCCCATTATAATACCCTACAGAACACATGCACATGCTCTAAAATTCCATGCCTCCTTTCTTTTTTGTTTGTTTTTGGGCTTTTTTTGGGGGGGGCTGGTTGAGACAGGGTTTTTCTGTGTAGCATTGTAGCCTGTTCTGACATTTGCTCTGTAGACCAGTCTGGCCTCGAACTCACAGAGGTCCACCTGCCTCTGCCTCCCAAGTGCTGGGATTAAAGGTGTGTGCCACCACTGTCTGGCTTAAAATTCCCTGTTTTATTACTTATCACTCCCTTTTCCTCCCACACTCAATGACAACCATTGGTCTTGGTGTTTTTTGTTTTTTAGTTTTCTATTTTTCAGAATGTCATATAATTAGAAACACAATGTTCCACATTTCCAGATTCACTCCTTCCTTCAACACATACTTAAGGCTTTTGCTGTTTAATATTTTTCATGACTTAGTAGTGTATCTCTTTGTGTTGCTTAGCAACATCCCATTGCATGGATGTGTCACTATTGGTTTATCCAAGTGCCCATTGAAGGGAATCTAGATTCCATCTAAGTTTGGACAACTTTGAAAGAAACTGTTTAAACATTGGTATGCAGGTTCTTGTATGAACATAGTTTCCAAATCATTTGAAGGTCCATAGTTGCTAGATCATGTAATAATCTCAGTTTTGATAGAAATTGCCATACTCACTTCCAATGTGGCTCTGACATTTTGCATTCCCACCAGAGGTGAGTGAGCATTGTCATCACTTGTTATTATCAGTGTTTTGGGTTTAATTCATCTGAGTAGATATATGGTATCTCTCTGTATTAATTTGCAATTCTCTGGTGACTTTAGACATTCAGCATCTTTTTGTAGGGGAAGCTGTAGCCACGCATTCTTAGAGGCTGGCTACAGGTGTGCCTGACCAGGCTTGTGAGGGCGTGGTCAGAGTGACGTAGTGGGACTGGGTTTTTGGTTTCGGTTTCTCTTTACTGCTTGCTGTACAGACCTCTACCACGCCAGCTGGCTAGGTTGCTCTGTAAGTAAGGCTTTTCCCTATTAAATACTCTTATATTTCTACCTGACTCCGTATTGGTAATTTCCCACAATATCTTTTTGTGTGTATTTTACTATTCTTTGGTGTATTTTCTTTGGTGAAGTTTCAGTTTTCATCATTTGCCAATTTTGAGGAATTTTAAGAGTACTTTGTATATTTTGAATACTAGTTTCTTTCAGCCCTGTATTTTGCAATATTGCCTTCTAATCTACAATTTTTTTGTTTGCTCTCTTAATATTATTTTTATAGAGTTTTTAATCTGGCTTTTCAATGGTGTGTGTGTGTGTGTGTGTGTGTGTGTGTGTCTGTGTGTGTGAAACAGGCCAGTGATATTCTCACAAACCTGGGTTTCCAACCATAGTGTCTTGTAGTAGCAACTTTCTAGTTCATTACTTTGTACTTAGAATTCTGTTTATCTGCCTAAGAAAGTGGCTAATTTTAAGGGAGAGGAAGAGAACCAGCATGTGCTGTTCAAAGCCTCTTTACCCTTGATGCTGATGGGCTGGAATTACTTGAGAAAAAGTAGTATAGAACATTATGTTCACCTCAGTGAGTTCTGTTAAGTCTGAAGATTGACCTTCAAATCCTGGTGAGGCAGGAGTTCTCCAGTGTGTTCAAAGTAAGAGTTTTAAACTACTAAGTTGATCTCCTTTGTTCTTAGAAGAGAATTGACCTGCTCTGGGTCCATCTTCTAAATGGCAAGATTTGGTCTGAAAACGAATTCAAGAGATGAATGTGGTGGTTCATACCTACAACACTGGAGGCTGAGGCAGGAAGGTTTCCCAGAGTCTGAGGCCTCGCTGAGCTATTCATAAGATCTTATCTCACAGTTCACATGTATCTTGCTTGCCTACAACCCTCTGCGGCTGCCTCTGCCTCTTTTCTGGCATGCCAAACAGTAGAGCCTATGGTGTCTTTCGTCTTCTGGTCTCTGCCTGTGCTCCTCTGCCCATTCTTTTCTTCTAAGAGTCATGAATTGTCATTATCCACAGTGCTTTCTCTTGCTTCTGTCTTTCTGTCATTTTTACCATTTGACTGGCACGTTCTTCTGATGGTCCTCCACATTGCTTAATTACAAATCTGTCCATCCTCTTGTTAGACATCACTCTTTCTGGGGAGCATTACTTGAGCTCTTCTGTTAGACCGATTCAACAGTGTTCCCATATAATATTATTGAGTATTTTACAAACTCTAATCACAATCACAACACATCTCACATTGTACTTGATTAATAATTTGTTTCTCTCAATTTGCTCTGTGAGATTTTCTATCATATTGTCTAACAGGACATGGCTCAACTCACTGTTCAATGACTATGCATATGAATATTAATCAATCACTTATTTCATTATAGTTTTCTATCTTCTTATGTTTTTTCAACTATTTCTTGGGAATAAAGTTAGTTCATTTGTTTCTTTTTTTCATTTATTCATTCAATTAACTAGTATCAACCATGTATTGGTGCTTTCCTAGAAAACATTATAGTTGTAAAAATAAAATGTAGAATCAGCTATTGTCCTCATGGTGCTTCCAATTTACCTGTGCTAGACCTTTCTTTTAAAAACATTTCTCAGATGATTGTCATGTGGTTCCAGCCAGAATGTTTTCTTCTTGTCTTTCTTTCATTTTCCCTAGATCTATAATTAAGCTAAATCCTCTTTCCCCCAACATTTTACACATTCTTTAAGATTTTATTTATTTATTATGTATACAACATTCTGCTTCCATGTATATCTGCACACCAGAAGAGGGTACCAGATCTCATAATGGATGGTTGTGAGCCACCATGTGGTTGCAGGGAATTGAACTCAGGACCTCTGGAAGAGCAGTCAGTGCTCTTAACCTCTGAACTATTTCTCCAGCCCCATTTTACACTTTTAACTGTTGTACCCTATATATGGTGGGAAACTAAGAAGCTCACGGGCTGACACTTCCAATCTCAAAGAGAAATGATACTATTTTCATTAGATCCTATCATTCAAATCACAAAGAATATTTTGTTAAGAAATGGAATTATTTTATCTTTAAGTGACAAGACTGACAAATCTTTGATATTAATAATTGAAGGGTTGATAGCAAATTCTTCCTTTGATACTACCTCAGTATTTTTATGTTTGATTTCTCCAGCTTGCCCTGTTGAGTGTGTGGGTGTGTATGTATGTAAATGTGTGTGTATGTGTACATGTATGTGAGTGTGTGTACGTGTGTATGTGAATGCATATGTGAGTGTGTGTATGTATGTGAGTACATATGTGAGTGTGTGTGTGAGTGTGTAAGTGTGTGTGTGTGTTTGCCAGAAGTGCAGTTCTGTGTGCAGATGCCTAGATAATGAGATCAGAGAGCAAGAACAATACCGCTTGTCTTGAAGCATAGTGTAGTTTGTGCCTCAGATGCAAGACAGCTGCAAGCCCTCATTTGGCCACAGGGATATCCAGTACCAAAAGCATGTTCAGGCCAGGGAAATTAACTGCCACGCTTTGTTTAGAAGAGGCAGGAAAGATAATAGACGGTGGCTTCAGCATATTTCAAATTCATCATGGGTTTCTTAAACCATCAGCTTTCCTCAGCTTGAAGTTGGTTAGGGATAAGAAGAAAGCATAAAACTCTATCAGCATAGTTGTTGAAATGCTCACAGCAGCTAATGAATGGAGAAAGGGACATGAACAACAAGGACTCCTCACTGAGCATCAGTGGAGTGAAGGCAAGTTAATGTTTTGGAAAGTTTTCAAGTACAAATAAGACAAGTCACTGGGATGAAACTCAAGTCAAAGCTATGTCACCTTTCCTCCTAAGTTAGCTCTGTTGCCGAGACAGGAGGGTCCCTGTCCCATACTCACCCTGATTTTCAGTTTCCAGTTTTCTCCAGTTCTCAGACTCTGGGCCATCATTTCATGGCCCGTCCTAAAGAAGGAGTTTCTTTCCAGCCTGATCCTACTGCCCTTTAGTCCCAAGCTTGTGTTAATTATAAACTGTTTGGCCAATGGCTAAGGCTTCTTATTGGCTAGCTCTATCTTAATTATTATCCAATTTCTGTTAAACTATGTATTGCCATGAGGCTGTGGCTTACCCATAATGTTCCAGCATGTTACTTCTTTGGCAGCCACATGGTGTCTCTCTGGAGGGTCACTCTTCGTTCCCCTTCCCAGAATTCTCCTAGTCTGGTAGCCCCTCCTCTACTTCCTGCCTGGCTACTGGCCAATTAGCATTTATTCATCAACCAAAAAGATAAACATATATTCACAGCATACAAAAGGGCTTTCCCCATCACCATCCTTCCATGTCAAACACCTTCTGCCCTGCCATAAGTCTCCCTATTCTTCCTCAAGCTCATCATGGGCACTTGTAGTCATGTGGCTTTCTCCATAGAGATGTCTGTGTCTCTTATTTTGAATGCTGCCTGTCACTGAGAATGGACTTGATATGCTGTTTATCATGGCATTTATGTTTGTCTAGGTCTCTGGATCCTTTAGAAACACATGGCACCGGCCATGATCTGCCACTTTAAAAAATTGACTAAATTTGGTTTTTGACAATTTCATACATGTATATAATACATTCTTATTACTCTAACCCCCACAATCTCCCTTATCTCCCTCCCACCCCTGCCAGTTCTCTCTCCTCCATACAAAAACATTTGTGCCTTTTTGTCTGTTTTTGGACCTAATGAGTTTACTTAGATAAATTTGTGTAGCTGTGGATTTGGGACTATCCACTGAAGCCTGTGGAGTCATCGGTGAGTACACGACCGAAGGCAATGACTGACTCTTCCACAATCTATGAGAAATGTCAGAGTGCTGTGACCCCTCCCCCATCCATTCCTGATTGTTGACAAGCCCGTTCTAGCACAGGCTCAGTGTGTGCAATCACAGCTGCTGTGAGTTCATGTTTTCAATGCTTGTGTCATGCTCAGAAAATGGCATTTCACAGCCCTTCTCCCTATTTTCTGGCTTTTAAATTCTTCCTGTCCCCTCTTCAACTATATTCCCTGAGCTTCAGAGGAGGTTATATAAATGTCTTGTCATTAAACTGTCACTTAATTCACAGCATCTGGAGCAGTCATGAGTCTCTGCATTCATCACAGTTCACTGCAAAGAGTGACTTCTCCAATTAAGCCCAAGAGTAGCATTTCCCTATGGGCATTAGTATAAATATTTAGAAAGCAGTTTTTGACTCCTTGTCAGTTTAGTTAAACTATGGTAGCATGTTTTTTTCAGGGTCCCAGGAATGGGGTTTTTGCCATATTCACAGTATCAGGAATGGATTCCGTTCTACAGCATGGGCCTCAGATCACAAGAAAGAGCAGTTGGTTTCCCCCTTTACATTCGTGCCAGTATTACACAACTGGACATGGCTTGCTTGATGGGTTGGTATTGTTGTTCACAGAGTTTACAGCTAAGTCAGACCATTGATATATTCTCTCCGCTAGCAACTTGCAAAGCATCTTCTGACAATTTGAAAGCTAGTCAGCAGGGAGGAAGCTTCTAGTTCAGTTTAGCTTGATTTCTCTATACCTTACAATGAAAGTATATGGTGTCTTCAGCAATAGGGTTTTATTTTGTTATGGTAGGCAAGCAAGGACTGCAGGCATCTCTAGTATTTTGAAGATGCCTGGGCCTCATAAGGTGGTAACCCACACCTGGCACTAGGATTTTTGTTTTACAACTCATAGCTTGTAGGAACAGCATTATTCAGTTTTGCAGAGTATCCCTTCAAACTATATTAAAATTATGTTTTAATTGGATTATGATATGATAGGTTTCCATGTCACTTTTCCATACATACTTTGATTTAACTCACCTCCTCATCTTTTCCCTCTCCCACTTCGCTGATTAAATCTCCTCATTCCTTTATGCTTTCATATTACCTACATTCTACTATTCCCACTTCCCTAAGACATCTCCTCACTTCGTGGCCTATTTCTTGTTTCCTGGTTTCTATAGGAATTCCAAATTAAATACTCAGAAATTTGGAGTACCCATATA